TGCACGCCTCCAGCGGCCGTGGCGGGCGCGCACCGCGTGCGTCCCGGCCGCGGGAAGGGCTCCTCTCGTCCCCACCGCCAGCATCGCGGTCTGCACAGCCTGCGCCTCAGGCTCAGGGAGCGGCAGGCACTGACCGCTTCAGCCTGGTTTTGTGTAATTTGATGCTAAACTCCTTTTGCCCCCTCTGCGCGGCTCTCCGTTGGAAACCCATCACTTCCCACCCCAACCCTGTCAGCAGACGGGTGAGTAAATGAGGAGTCGAGCAAAGGCTTTAAGTGCACATCTAACGTCAGCATAAGCAACAAGTAAACACCTCCCTCTAAAAGCCTGATCTCTTATCACAGCTTCTGCTTCACCTACTGTGGTTGGTGTCAAAGGTGACTACTGTGCCTTGGGGGAAAGCAAAGTAATCCGGCGCGGACAGGAAAGCCATCAGAGCTCTTAAGGATAGGCTGAGAAGTTGCAAGAATTCTTCCTAAAAGTTAGTTGTATAAAATTTAAAGCAAAGCAAACAAACAAAAATCACATGTTAAGACTCCAAATAAAAAACACATTTAGACTCCACAGAAGCCAAATGCAGCTGGGGTTTGCTCTCCGCTGTGCAATGGCTGCTTGAAACCTATGCTGCACACACATGTATTCTCAACTACCTCCAAACAGTATTTTTGATTAGTTGTTAGCTTTTATAGGAAAAAAGTTAGCATACAGCAGTCCCCTTTTTTTGGCATCTGAGCCAGCTTACACGAAGAAAATCAGAGGGACTTAGTAAAGGCAGATTTATGTCTAACAGTTTAGGTAGAGGAGAGTTTTCTAGAGGTTCCAAACTAGTATTTGCTTGATAATTTGGTTACCTTAAAAATGTATTTAAAGTGAAGATTTTTTTCCCAAGTAAATAACATACATACTAATTTATAGTGGAATCAGTTAATAGGCCCAATACTGCAGCCTTTCCACAGCAAAAACTGTCCTTACAACCGTTTAGGAAATGCTGTAAAATGCAGTTTATAAGCTCCTGTGCATATACTAGATACAAATTTTGATGTTGTTTGTTTTGGGGTTTTTTGGTTTGGTTTTTGTTTGTTTTTTGGTTTTTGTTTTTTTTTTACTAATCAGAATATATAGACGAGGTGTAAAAATGCACAGAGAAAATCTTTACTTACGGTGCATACAGTTACATTCCAAAAGATATAAATTGATAACCAGCAGGAATAAGAAAAAAAGACATGGCATGTGCATTCTCTCATTTTAAAACTACAAATTGCTGTAACTGTTTTCAGTCTGCTGAAGTTAAGTTAGTCCCTTTGGACCAAATTCTGCCTCCCTTATTCACATGTATAATCTTACTAAAAAGACAAAAGAACAGGTTTTGTCAGTAAGGTAAGCAGAATTTAACGTTTTAACACAAGCTGCAGGGTGTAAAGAGATTGTAAGAAGCCAAGTGAGAAAGAATTTAATGTGCTTGACTTTAATACAAGCCTTTAAAAAAGAGGAGCATTTCAAATAAGCCTCCACATAAGAACACAAGACAAGCTAAAGTCAACATGGAGCTGCAACAAGTTTCTTTAGCTCGTTTAATGTTGGTTTTGGGGTGGATTTTTTTGTTTTGGTTTTTTTTTTTTTTTTTTTAATCGTTTTCAATAGTTAAAGGAAAAATAGAGGGGGAAGTTCCCTATGCTTAAGTTTGGGGAAAGTGCACTATAAAATAGAGCCCCCACTGGTGTTCGTTAGTTTAAACAAAGAGTCTGGTCATAGGTTACTACTGGTAGACGGTATTGTAGCCCACCACATGCTAACTGTCGTCACTATGAAACCAGTGCAGAGAAGTCGATGTCTAAAAGAATAAGAATTAAAAGAACAAAACAATGCTTTCATACTGCAATTATTTGCAGAGAGAATAATATTGTATCCACATGTACTGTACAAAAGACTTTATTTTCTTAATCACAGAGCCACCAAAACTCTTCAATATAGCTTTTGTTTTACAGAACATACTGCATATGGGCTAGTATTAACTATGCCTTTGTGAAAATGGAGGGAATAGTATCTTCTAACTCTGTATAGAGCAAAATGAAAAACATTTTATTTGCTCCAGTAGATTCTTAAAACTACACTTTCTATCTGAAAGGTCTAAGGCTTTTGACTCGTGTGTAATCATAAATACACTAAGTAAAGAATGTGTTGATTTGTGAAGTATAACAACGATGCAGACCATCTCACTGACATGAGACAAAAATGACAGAAAATGAGGTACAGAATGCATCCTCATCAGTCCTTCCTAACTGAGATAAATAAGCCTAATTTTGTTGAAGTAGAGATTTGGCAACTTTCTCTCTTTTAGTCCTTCCTGATGTTAAATTTACAGAGTTGTGCCATTGGTCCCTTAGGGGCTGGCAGGGCAAGGTCTCTCTCAGGCCCCGCCACAGGCTGACTTCTCATTTATTCAGTGTACCAAGATAATGATAGTGCCACAATCACTGGTGACATACCATAGGCATCTCCTGCCACCTGTCGAAGACATGGATATTGTTCTTCAGCCTTCACACCCTTCATCACTATGGTTTTATTCAAATTTGTGCAGCAGTTACTATCTTATATTACATGAGCAAGGGCAGACTTTTCCCCCCATCTCATAGTGAATCTGTTTCAGCCATTTAATTCTGTGGATTAAGATAATTATGGGCAAATCATACCGTTGAATTCAAAATGTCAGATTCTAGCAATACAGACACCACCATCAGTCAGAGACGTTCCTTGGTTTATTTTTTCTCTTAATCATCTAACTGTAAAAGCTACCAAGTTTATACTTGAAATTACCTCAGTTTTATAATATATACAAAATTGACTCAAGTAATTGTTAGCAAAATCCCCCAAACCTTTAATCCTCTTTACAGAGAAATAGTTGTTAAATGTTAATGTTGCTTTATATATATCTGTTGTTAATGTACGCTTTATATATATCTGATTGATGACATCATTGATTTTTTAAAATCTTTGAGTACATTTGTTTCAAATTTTTACAACAACAAAATATGCTAGATGAGTGGAAAAAATCTATTATGTTTTGAATAGTGCTTACTATCTTAAGGCCACATATCATATGACCATAGAGATTAGAAACAAACTCACATCTTCCTGGTTTTAGGGTGCTTTGCAAATGTTATCTCAGTGTAAATAAACTTGTTTAAAATCAGATTGAACTGTTTTAATCTGAAACCTACATGTTGTATAATGCAGATTTTTTCCACTTAAGTGTGAATTAAGTTTTTTTCTATTTTAGAAAATGTTGTGTTTCCTATCCCTTGAACTGAACAGTAGATTTCTACTGCCTTTTAGCTCACAGACTCTGAATGTTTAGTCTGTAATTTTATACTGTTATTTACATCCTCAAGATGAAGGTTTTATTTAAAATATATGTATTTAAGACCACTCCAAACAACTTCTCTTCAGCAGATCTTGCTTCAGGGTAAATCTCACAGTTACATCTAGACTCAGTAGTACAATCAGATGATCTGTCGAGTAAGATGTGTGCCAAACTATTGTGAGCTTAATACCTCTACTGATTAAAGTGCAAAAACTTCAAAAGAGCAAAGATAAGCTTACAGCAGCTCAATGATATTATGTTATGCCACCAACTGTTATGAATTCCTACTGAATTCAGATAATGCAGTGAAATTTACTCCAAAGTCACAGTTGTTACCTCATGAGCTACTTCTCAAAGTCATATTGTGAAATTGATCGAGATCTTTGTGCATGGTACATACAGGTAAAAACACACTTTCAACATGCTATTTACATAGAATGTTTGGCAGAGTCACCACTTTAACCAGAATAGATTTTCGCAGCTCTTCTACTACATCCTTTTCATGTAGTGACTTTTTTTTTCTCAGAAACACTGATGCTTGTCAATTGTAGATAATTTGTCAGAAAGCTCAGTCTGTGCAATGGAAGGTACCAGAGTACTCTACTCAAGTTGAAGCCACTTTTAAGTGGCGAAGACAGCAAGGTTCTCTCTGTGAAACCAAGTCCCACACAACTTTCCAAGTTAAAGTCTCCCACAAAGAGGAGCTTCCTCAAATTTCTAAACTGGAAATCATCTATCAAGTAAGTATATCACTTGATCTATTATGGGGAGAAGGCTAATTTAGAATGATCCACAAATAGTTGCTGGTTTTGGAACACCTTAAAGGAACAAGTCTTCAAATTCTAAACCTGCAAGTCACTTGTTGGTGAAAAAAACTGCTAATTTGTGCGAAAGCTTCTCTGAGGCAGAAATCATATCTCTAACTTTTGAACATGAAAAAAAAAAATTAAACCAACACAAGAAACAACGTAGTAGGTCTTAAAAAAACACCCTGAACACATATACCCAACTTTAAAACTCTGCCTGTGGGTAGTGACCCAGTTAGTAAGGTTTCTTTCGTACGTTAAGGATTTCAAAGCTCTGCTTGATTTCTTCCAATACAAAAGCAAATTCATCAACATTCTGAGCATCTCTTCAACTTCAGACAACTTAAGAAGAAATTGTATTTACTGAATTTTCAAGACCATGAGAGGAACATCCTTCTGAGTTTTGTCCTAGTTAAGAAGATGGCAAAAGACAGCTTAATTTGCATTTTGGGAGAATTTGCTGAGAATTGCGGTCATGTAAACATTCAAATGCAGAGTTCTATCTAAAACCTTTTATCTCTAACTAGAGAAAATGCAAAAATAACAATTCAGAACCACTTGTGGCATTGGGAATCTCTGATAGCAGTTATTCCATTGACAGTAAAAAGCACTTGCTTGGTTTCTGAGTGAAAGTGGTTTAAAGAATTAGGTGGAAGAATGATAGAAAAAAATGACATGCATAATAAAAAATATTTGGAAACAGTTTCATTAGTCTATCCTTTAGACTTTTGTCCTTTGTATTTTCAAAACTTTATTATTCAAAACTAAAGCAGATGAAGACACTAGTTTTTAAGAACTTTTGAGATTGCCTTTTGAATCAGATCTTCAGTAAGAATAGAGGTTCTGACACTTCCATGGTATACATGCATGCCTGCATTTAGAAGAGTAATCCTTTTGAGGTCAATGTGTGTAAGGTTAAAGTTATTGTTATATTGGTGCTATTGAAATCTTGTTCCATTCTTTATAAAACTCTGTACTTAACAACATGTACAATTTATCATCAAAACAAGTATATTACTCTTGCTATCATAGGGCTTAGAAAAGATGCTATAGCACAGACTGCTTATGGAGAATATATTCACATTACTAATTAACTGCATGATTCTTCTTGACAATTACATTTTTAAATAATACAACAAGCATGTCTTAAAATAGTCATGTCTTCAAAATCAAAGTACTGTTTACAACTGTAGTATAATTTGTAAATGTATATAAGAACATGCAGACATGTTCTGGGAAAAAAAAGCAATAATGGAAAATATCCTTAAAATAGCTTGATGGACATGAATTCCCATAGCAGAGGGAAGTATGTCTCTGAAATAAAGATAATGAAAGTGACTCATTTGCCAAACTGTAAGAGCAGGTTAGAAGATCAAAGAAATTTTTCATCATCAAAAATGGTGGAAAATTACAGTTTTGCTTCCTATTGGAAAATTATCCCATTTGTGACTGTAGCATTTTTATTTTAAAAAATTCTAACCTCTTCTAATTAATATCAGAAACACATTCAAGGAACTTGACAAGGCTACTTTATTCTCTCCCTGTCAGCATGTCCACACTTTAAAAGGCAGTGGGGACAGCAGGCAGGAATACAAACTGTACAACAAAGGAAAGTGTTTGGTAGGAACTGCAAATATCTGTGACTGCGTACAAAACTGTATGGCATTTATGATCAAACCAGAATAATTGACAACTACATCAGATTATTAGTGAATGGTGGATAGATGTCTGCTCTGTTTAAACTAGTAAGTTTAAAAGATTTTGTAAGCCATAGTTGTTCCAACCCTACTAGACAACCAGTCTGTTTCATAATTTATTCTGATTTTATGCAATGGAGCAATCATGTTAAGAGTTGTACAGTGTGTTAAAAATTCCTTTCCATTACTTACATACACAGTTTAAATGGCTGAGTTGTACTACCACTTTAAAATATTTACACCATTTTAGCTTCAGAAAAAAAAACTAAACCAAAACTTTTTTTTTTTTTCCCCCCCCAAGAAATTACTATAAATTGAAAGCATATAAACTTGAAGATAAAAATGAAGAATACAGGGATGGGAATGATAATATGTGAGAAATATGAAAGGCAATGCAGTCAAATCTTGTATAACATGAAATAAGGCTCCACGAAAGGTTTAAAAAACTGAATCAGCTTTAGAGATTCTGGCAGTTAAATTGCTGTGTGGTCTTCACTTTACCAGTATAGATGCTTTACTATTTTTATTATAAAACTATATATACTACACCATTAGCACAAACAGAGAAAAAGAAGACAAGAGGCAAGAGAATAGATCCAGTATCAGGAATAACCAGTTTAGAGGTGATTGAAAGCTGATCAAGATAACAAAGTCAAGAAAAACAGAGAGGATAAAGAGAAGATAATGAGACACTACTTCAAAGGCTGTAAGTAAATCAAAGGAAATGGTCCATGCAGCAAAGTTAATTTTCTTGCTGTTTTGTAAGGTGAGGCATATAAATAACCTTGCTTTCTGAAACACATCTTTCTTTCTGTGTATATTTAAAGAAAGCATTCAGTGGGATAGCTAAACCACAATAGTCACTGATTTCTAGACATCCTTCTTCAATATGTCACCTAGCTGCAAGCACTGAAGGTATCATGAAGCCTAATAGAAATGAAGTTAACTAGTCTCCAAGCCATTATTCATTTAAATGGTATTGCGGATATCCTGTTTGCACTTTCCCCTGCCACAGGAAAGAAAGACTTCATTATATCTACCAGATAAAATACAGACATTGTAGAAACAATTTATTTTTTCCTATCTAAAGCATTTATTCATAAGAATTGCTGTGTGGTAGCCTGCAGAACAGGCTGCCTTGCTCTTTTAGCCTCTGTAACTGGGAAACCCATTAAGACCACATGAGTTGTCAAAGCATACGGTATGTTGCATACCATATGAGTACTGTCCACAGACACTCACTTTGAAGGCAGGCCAATGGCAAACAGTGGCATCAGGAGAACAGCTAAAATCTAGAGAAATCAAGGTGACAGCACATAAAACACAGGTTGTGCAAGACCTCTGTTGAACAGGCAGAAAGCCAGGGACACATGACTAAAAGGTTTCCAACCTACTCTCTAGTAGTCTTTTGCTTGAATTGAAGTGGAAAAAAAAAATACTGGCATCATGAGATATTTTCAGTTTTGCTCCTCAGTTCTTAATCACTGCCTCCCTCTCCCTCCCATTATGCTGAAACAGATAAGAATAAAAGCATAGAAGTTGGTGTACTTAAAGTGAGGTCAGGCAGTAGAAATAAACAAACTGTCAAGCCACACAACGGTGATAGTATTCCTGGCCAAAGCCAGGAAGTGTGGGACAACAGAGAGCTCAAAGATCTCTGTTGTAGAGGAGACATTATTTCCTGTT